TGTGTGCAGTATCACATGGGCGCGCGACTGCGCGCTGCGCAGCGCAAGCGCGATTCAGCTTCCCATGCGGGTACTGCGACTCGCTTTCCCTGATCAGACTGGGTCTCCGTCAGCAGCCAATACATCTCCACACTTGCACGTTCAAGGCGTGCCTGCTGGCAGACAAAGTTGTGCTCATCAGTCAGGCCTAATGTGTGCTCCCACTTGGGAGGATGCGCAGTGCATCCAACTGGCCTCTAGCTACACAACACCTGCTTGATGCAATTGTTGCGTCTAGATGGGATTGGTGGTGATGGACCCGCTGCTGGCCAAGGCACGACTGCCTGCGGCCAGGCATCATCTCAGGATTAGGGTTGTGACAAGATCCTGCGGTCCCCCGCTCATGGAGCCATCCAATCGAGGAGGACGCCAGTTGGTGGCATGGGGGCGCGGCACGTACGTTCTTACAACTTGACTCTCAACATTTCAGCCGCACCCTCCAGCACATCAGCATTCCCACCGCACAGCACGTATGTGTGTGTGAGGGTCACAGCAAAAGTGTGTGGACGCATGCGTGTGTGAGCCTGTGCGTGTGTATGCGAGACAGTGTGTGTGTGTGTGTGTGGGTGGGTGTGGGTGGGTGGGTGTTGGTGTGTTCGCGCGCGTGCTTGCGTGAGTGTGTAGAGGATGGAGAGAGAGCATGAGACGACGAGAGGAACGGGAGAGGAGGAGGTGGAGAGAGTGAGAGAGTGATGTGCGTGAGTGTGTGTGACAGGGGGGTTGCGGGTTGGGTTAAGCTTCCAAAAGTATGGGGCTGGAGGATCACACAATCATCAAGTCAGCACAGTTGGATCAATCACTGCAGATCGTCATTTGTGCTGGGTGGAAGCGCAGTCACGCGCAGCATCAAAGGAGCAGGTGCTCATGCAAGGTGCAAGGATAGGCTGTGTTTCCAGCAGAACGCACCCTGGATAGTGGTGATGAGATTGTAGGGTGTCAACAAAGTTATGCACCACTGCACTTCCTGCTCGGGCCAGGCTGACCAGTGTGGTAGCACGGCGCAGTAATACTTGAGAGGAGACAGAGTGCAGGGACTGGTCGATTGGAAAGGAGGCTAAGTCCTCAGCCCACCCAGAGCACCACAGCGGTTTGTTGCGGAGATGCGGCCGTGCTGGGCAATATGATTGAGGGTGATTGATTGTGCTGGCAAGGGGGCTTGCTTGGTGGCTCACACACGACAACATCTGTATGGCCTGGAATGGAATGTTCTGGCAATCACTGCGCTGGGCAGGACGCTCAGTCCCACCATTGCATGTTTGCGTTGGTCACACGACGGGGGTTGCATTGCTTGGACTGCATAACAGTCTTTGTAACATTTACTCCAACAACTCGCCAGGAGACATGCAAGGTAGAGTCGTGGTGCGAAGGCTGGAGCTGCACAGCAGCTGGGCCGTGCACATTCGCTTCACACCCGCAATACGTTGCTCGAGCCGCGCGCGTGCACCCCATTGGTCCACAAGGACAAAGGCACGGCTTGTGATGTGCGCTCATACTTCAGGACAAGCATGTCTTGCCCGCCACATCTGCTACACTCAAACAATTTGACCCTGCTTGCCCGCTAGTTGCTGCTGTGTGTGGGCGATCGCTTCAATTCAAACGCATCCACCATGGCCACCACAAGCTGGCCAATGTTCAGGGCATGTGCATGGATCTGCGGTAAGGGCATTGCAGCTACACACGGTGGGCGGGGTTCAAGCGCAGTACAGCTAGCCCAGTACTGGTCAGGACTGTAGCTCACTGGCCAGTGAGCAGCATACGATGGTGTGCTGCTGCACAGGACTGTGAAGTGTGCTGGGGGGCCAAAGTCATGATGCCAGTGTAGTCTATGGGCGTTTTGCAACCTTAGGGCAGATGTCATGTGTCCTACCAGCTCGAGAAGCAACCAAGCAAGCCTTGCCTTCCCCAAACCACCAGGGAGGGGCCTAGAAGATGAGCAGGACGCTGCACTAGCACCTTACGCTGAGCACTTCATCGTGCAGTGAGTGCAACACGATTTTGCTGTGCACCCATGCAGGTCATGCTTGCATACTCCTGTGCAAGGCTTCCTTGCACCTGCGCTATGCGCCTTCATATGATGGAGGCACTCTGCACACTCACTGGGGCACAGCTTGGTCAACCTGGGCAGTAGAATGCACAGCAGACGTCACACCTCGTCACGTGGCTGCAGCTTCGCCCAACTATGCGACAGTCAAGATATCCTTTCAACACACCGGTTTCTGAGGAGACACAACCGCTTATCACACAGTCGTCAAGGCAGCATCACACAGATCCTGCCGCGCCGAACGATGTGTGTCGACATACGTGCTCAACTCCTGCTGGTTGCCTGTGCCTTCTCCAACTGCTGAGTTTCCCAGGTGCATGAATGGAAAGCAGTCTACTCAATTCATGATGATACTTGAAGGCTCTGAGACAAAGTTATGGCGTGGATAGGGCGATGCATGTCAAATGGTGAGTCAATGAGTCAGGTGGCGGTGGGTGGCTCCGTCAGGTCTGTTTTGTGGGCGATCTCGCCGAGGCCACGCATGGTACATAAGAAACATTCAATTTAGAGGCTATCGGTATATGTGTTGCCGAGCTTACCGTAGTCGTCGGCCGTGTAGACATCTCTACATCATGCTCACCGTCGACAAGAGTATTCATAGATGAGTCGATTATGATTTTTGTACGCCGGGAACTCTCATAGTGCGAACATGCATGAGCGTATCCGTTTGAGTTGTGACTGATGAATCTGTTCGCAAGGGTTAGAAAAGGCATGGGGAGAGGGCAGATGCCTCAGAGCCAAGATGTGTTGCATCTCCTGTTGGCTGTCAACTGTAGCAACCCAACAGCGATGGCTGCAGCCCAGAGGCCCGGAGCAGAACCCTGTATGTAGAGCACGCTGCGAAGATGTGAAATTAGAGAAGGTGCAGTGCTTGTGGGGATCAGGGGCGCGGTGGTCAAGGCGTCATATCGCTTCAAGGGACCAGACACATACCTATTTTGAGAGGAAACTTAGTCCCCGTCACATGCAACATGACCCAGAAACCATAGCAGCATTCAGCGACAGCCTTGCAAGGCAAAATCGCTGACACTGTTGCCTGGCAGCTGCAGGCTTCTGCCAGGGCAACTGGTTGGCCTTGAGCTAGCCTTGCTTTCAGTCACATGGCTTCTGAAATGAGGTTTTTCGTCGTAACCACCAGCGCCAGCTGCAGTTGTGGCGGCGTATCTGGGATCGCTGTGTTATTCGTGTAGCATTGTGCTGGTGGCAAGGAGCACAGGCGCGCACGTCAAGTGAATAGCCCACGCGCCATGCGCATATCTGCACGTAATCATGAATTCAAGCTTCAAGTTGTTGAGCCCGCCCTCGCAAAGTCTTGGTTCAACATCCTCCCTTGCATGTTGCTGTTGATGAGAACTGCGCTAATGTCATTACTCACAAGTACCGTCGGGCTAACGCCAGCAACAACAAGCCTCACTCCAGCTCACACGAAGCATCACATGCACGTTGTGCAGCTTGGAGCGTGACAGGTTTGATATAAGATTGCATGCAAGTATCATGATTTGCCCAAACTCAACGCGTTGCTGCTGTACCCCAAGACACAAACCCTCAATGCGTTGCCGGGCAGCACCCAGCACTTCAATGCGGGAGACACGTGTGCCCTTCGCGTGTTGACCGTACCTAGTTCGCAAGGCAGCCGACAGAGTCTTGGCGGCTAGACATCCTCCACAGTGGTAATACTTCTTGTGGGTGCTGCATGGTTAAGGTGCCAACAGGGGTGGTGGCGATGCTGACCAGCGCAGCCTGCGCATGCAACGCAAACCTGCGTTCTCCCGTCCACGAGAATCAGCGCTCACAGAGCCGCCACTGTGCATCTTATGCGGCTGTAAGCTTGCCGGTACGCGTGTACCGCTCCATCTGCCTCTGGCTTGTCCACAGCAGTCCCCACGACAGCATGCCTGTTGACGGCAAGCGGGCGTTCAAGTTGGCCGGACAGTGAGGCCGAGCGGTGAGTGACAACTGCCGGGGAAGGTTGTGAGTGAAGTTGACCGCACGACAATGTAGCTGATCATGACCAGCAATTGAGTTTTGGTGCGACTACCCCGCGTCCAGGGCACGTCTCTAGGGACGTTTGTATGGTGCATGGCGTCCCACCCGGCCGCGAGGTGAGGTCAAGGCATGTGACTGTGTTTTCAACTCCCATCGCAACAAGCCCAGAGGATTGAACTCAAGGCCCGTGTTAACAACCCTTGTCCAGTCAGGATCAACCCCACTGTGCACGCATCTCCACACAAGTGGCAGTCCCTGCTTACATCTTCGTGACGCATTTGACAGCAGTCATGACAACACGTCAACGCCGCCGCTGATGGCGGGCGTCGCTGCCCACTGCGCAGCCCATGATGGAGGAAGCCCCCTCTCATGGCATCCACCCCTGTGCAGAAGTAAAACCTTGGCACCCTCCTGTCTGAAATGTCTGCCCAGCCGGCCGCCTGTGTAGTTGCCCTGCGCACGAGCACGGTTGAAATTGCAGTGCTGTTGAAGCTTTCCCCTAAGTGTTGAGCACCAGGGCGGGGCCCCCGCCCCGCTGCATGCGCACTAGGGAGTGGCTACCGCTGCTCCCAAGTCGTCCAGTCCATGGCATGCCAGCGTTGTCTGAGCAGGCCCAGCCGACGCCGGGCGTGGCCGGCAGCTGGTGCGGCCAGCGATGGGCACCGCCGAACGACACAGCATAACCGCATAGCGGGATCAGCAGCGATGGACCGCATCAAGAGGAGCAGGATCTCCAGAAGCAGCAGCATTCAAGAACGACTGTGCGGAGGTCAGGCCTGCTGCAGCGGGCCTGCAGAGCACGCGCATCGAGCGCGCAGGTGCCGCTTGCAACATGCTGTCGAGCGCAATTGTGGCTCGCACCAACGCAGCTTGATCGCCACGAAAGTAGTTACACCTACTCATGCAAGCACGTCCAAGAGGCGCGGCCGCTGTGATGTTCTCGCGGTTGCAGTCCGATCTGGTGAGGATCGGTGTGCTCACAAGCAGTACTGTTGCTTTGTATGACTCCATTCACATAAGTCGAGGAATCTGCAGCACGCTCGTGTGTTGCTGGACACGTTGTTATGCAGCAGCAGTAATGATGTGCGCGCAGGTGAAAGGAGACGCCTTGAATTCTCGCGTGCGTGATAACGTTATGAAACCCGTTATCCTGACCTATCAATGTACCGCATACACAGTGTAGGCTCCCTGCATCATGGTGACTCAAGGCTCGAGTTTCCACCGGTCGCGGGCGCGCCTCCAGAGGCCAAATATGATGTTGATAGATCAAATATATGCCTCAGCAGTGCTATGGGGATGTGTGTCTTGGCGTGTCTTGAAGACACGCCCCCTAAGTCAGTGTTACTGATTGCAAGACACACCCCTTGATCCCTGCACAGGAAGCCTGCCCAATGCCTCGGCCGACGACGACCCCCAGCCTCGACACAGGATGCTGTAACCGGCAGATTGTTACCATGCTGTCTTCTCTTAATCACATGTAAATCATCTGCCCTCCTGTCAATTCGGGATCACCCCAACCAAATTGTGCGTCGACAATACAGTACGAGTGTTGCCAAGCAGCACGAGGTGACGTAGTGACGCCTGCGACAACATGCTACGGTACGGCTAGTCCACAGTCTCACTGCGTACCTGAACGCGTCGTTACTTTGACGTCGTTTTTCGCACAATCACCTCATGCTGTAAAGCTATCCGACGCCTGTGGGCCGTACAGCAGCGTTGCTTGCCAGGGCTCGAGCCTCACACCTTCTGCGGCGCTCAGACGTTCGGCATCATGGACGGCGAGCTTAAGGATCCCGAATTAGGAAAGGGTGCTGCTCCGCGGAGGAGCCTGAACAGCTACATGCGGCAGCACAGCGCCTGTGCGCTGGACCCAGCGCGGCGGCGCTCTTTTCATGATGCGGCGGCCGACACTGGTGGCCTTGACGACCAGCACCAGCATGGCCATGAGCATGACCACCACGAGCCAAGGATCAGCCACAGGACTGGCGTCCTACTTGAGGCGGTGAGCCGCCGCGCCACACCGTTCATAAAACACTCCCCTTGAGTCAGCGGCGGCTGTTCGTGCAACCCATTCGCAACCCCACACTCAGCATGTCACCTTGCGCTTCTCATAGCGCTCAATGACGCGTGAATGCTCGCCCGTCCTCGCCGCCGCCTCTGCGTTCGCTGCGCATAGCGCCTGGATGACCTGGCCCACGACCACCTGGCGGCGCCCGCGCCGCCGCCCGAGAAGCGCACCTCCTGGCGCCGCGCGCTGCTGGTCAACAGCTGGGTGCTGCTGCTGGCTGCGGGCGTGCTGGTCATCACGGTGGTTTCGTCCAGCCGCCTGCACGTCTCGGAGCCGCTGCAGCATGGTGGGTGGGACGACTAGGGCTTTTGCGCGGGGTGGGAGGGCCGCGTCGGCCCACTGAATCGCCTGCACATATTGGGGCGTGTCCAGCCGTGCCCTCTGATTGGTTTCTAGGAGGCATGCGAGTGACGGCATGGCGTCCGGTGGCTGTTGGCTCAACGCGCGCTGGTGTGGCTGACGGCTTGGTGGCATAGGCGACAGCACTTCCTTGCCGTGAGCGCGTTGGCTGCACAAGTGGGGTGGCCTGAGCATGCTCTCACACCACACCGCCCTTCCGCCCATGCAGCTCACGCCGTCAATGGAGCGGAGCCTTACCTGCTGCCCATCGCACCTGGCCCTATGTGAGGCTTTGGCGGCGGGCCGCGGAAGCAGGAACCATGCTGCGTGCGTAGGATGTGTGCAGCACGTGGCCGGGTGCAAGTGGCAGGCTTGCATTGCGTGGTGCCAGAAGCAAGAACATTTCAAAACATAAAGAACCCCGCTTTTGGCAACGTTGCAACGGCCCCCTCTGGCCACTCATCACCGTCCCCCAACCCCCCTCAACCGCCACAATGTCAACCCTACCACCCAACACACAGACAGTACCTGTACGTGGTGTTTGTTGGCGCCCCCTGGTATGGCGCAGGCTCCACCAGCAGCAGCAGCTACGGCCGCCGGCGCCTGTCTGCTTTTGAAATCGCCACATCGGCAGGAGCAGGGTGGGCGTCCGAGGCGCCGCCTGCGGCAATGGCGCCCCTGCACCCCGTCGAGGCGGCAGCGCACCTCCGGCGCCTCAAGTCGCACCGCGTGCTCGCCGCCGCTGCGGTCGAGTCGGGCGAGGGCGAGGCGAGCTCGCCGGCGGTGATGATAACTCTCATGCAGCGGGACCCCGCAGCCGCGGCCGCCGGCCCGGCGGCGGTGCTGTCGGTGGCCGCCCTGGCCGGCGCCGTGGTCAAGCCCACGCAGCTGGGCCTCGTTCCCGTCAGCCAGCCCCGCGCCTGCCGCCTCAAGCCCGGCGCGGCGTCGCGCTGCCTGCTGTCGTTCACCGGCGGCGACGTGGACGCCGCCACGTACGTGCCCGGGCGGGAGACCTTCCTCGTCTTCCATCTAGAGCAACCCGGGCAGGTGGCTTTCGACATACACGCCAAGGAGCTGGGCGGCCTTGGGCCCGCCAAGAACTGGATCGCGCTGACAATCCTGCTGCTGATGCTGGCCGGCATCGCGAGCGAGCGCGTGCACCGCATGTGAGCGGGCTTTTTTTGGGGGGGGGGGGCAGGGACGCGGGCGCGCGCCGCTGGCTTGCAATTGCTGCGGCGCGATGGTAGGGTTGCGGCAGGGTAGGCTGCGAGCTGCGTATGTCCCTGTGTGTGTGTGGACG